CAGCACTCAGGAGGCAGAGGCAGACAAATCTCTGAGTTCAAGGCCTGTGTGGTCTATAGAGTGAGTTCCAAGGCATCAGGGGCCATACAAAGAAACCCTGTCTCAAAAACAAAACAAAACAAACAAAAAAGATTAGTTAGAAACACACTTTGTTGTACCTAGATTATGCTCAAGTAGAACCTTGTATTTATTTACATGGGTTGAAAGAATTTAAGGAATTTCCTTTGTATTGTTAAGTCAAGCCCGAAGGTAGAAAAAAGACAGGGTTGTGATGGTTTTCTGTCTTAGTAAAAAAAACCAACCCTCTTTGTGATTCTGCATAAAAGGGGTGTATCTTGCAATGAGACATCTGAGAAATGCTAAATAAAACAGGAGATTCATAAGGTATAGCATGTAGGATGATTATATAACTCTAAGGGTCCTGTCTGCAACATGAATTAAGATCTACATTATTAACATCTTTGGATAAAATTTCTTGCAAACATTCACTCTCTCTAATTGTATTTCTAGTCAACAGACTTTTATCGTGCTAAGGTTTGCTGTCTGGTAATCAGAGCCACCTCTGGGGAGGCAGCTCAGTAGAGGAACACTTGCCTTGTGTGCAAGAAACCCTGAATTTAGTTCAATTCATAGGAACACAGAGAGAGAGAGAGAGAGAGAGAGAGAGGAGAGAGAGGAGAGAGGAGAGAGGAGAGAGAGATACAGACAGACAGACAGATTGCCACCAGCATTTATGAAGGAACAGAGAGTAGTGAGAACCAGGTGCAAGTGAATGGCACTGAATACCCAGGGAGTTGTTGCAATGGATGGCGGTCCTTCCCTTCCAAACTTACAAGGCAACAACTGTGTGCTATGTGGCTAAGAGAAACTACTGTCTAGAGATTGTTGAAAACCCATGTGTGAACTAATGAGAGATGATTACCCTGTGACTTTTGAGGAAGTACTCCTGGGAGCATTTGAGAGTTAAGTCCAGAATCATGAACTGTATAAGGATGCAGAAGAAATTAGTGAAAAATTGACAATCCCGCCTCAATAGAAAGAGCAGCTCACAGATTTCTGGATCTCTTCTAGGAAACTCAGGGTCTCCTGGAAGTCAGGTTTAGACCTCTTGATACAATGCCTAAGTCAATATAGGTTGCTTGTTGTAGATGTTGGCATGGAGACAAATTTCTTTATACTCAAGTGAGGAGTCTCTTCTGTGCTCTGTTAACTTCCTTAGCAAAATGTAATTTTAGAAAACTAATGCAGGGCTATTCCCCAGACTCCAGGGAACAGCTCTGTTGTCCTCCACCTTCAGTCAGCCAGTAATGGGACACTAATATAATGTGACATAGGAATAAAATTGAATTGCTTGGCTTTCACTTAATTTCAGTGCACTTTCTGTCCCCTGTGTTTTAGCTGTCCAGTTCCTTGCCTTTAGCTGGCTTCATGACAAACCAAATGGGAGAAGATCCATGAATGTGGAATGTCACGACACCAGCCAAGAGAAACAGTGTCCCCAGGAACCTTGTTAGAAATGTCGAGGGAGGTTCTTGTATTAGTTCCAAATTTCTCCCTGGGTCTGGAAGTAGCAGATGCTAGGGTTAGGCAGAATCTTGTTTAGGAGAGAAATGGGGAGGGTAATTATCAGAATGATATTAGCAAATACCTGTTTGACACTTGGATTGTACTAGGCACTTTCCCAAGGTGTGTCACATGCACTGACCCATTCTGTTCTCATATTGTGCCTATGAGGTTGATCCTGTTGTCATCGTCTTTCTTAGGAGGAGACTGTATCACAGGTTAACCAGGAGGTGGAAGAACTGCTTCAGATTCAGTCAGGCTGCTTTGGAGCCCAGTGTCTCCCAGCAGTTGGCTATGTTGCCCCTGCCACCCACCTACTTCTTAGACAAGGGTCGAGAGTGATTGAAAGAGGGTTTCCGTGCTCTGATGCCTTAAAACATATCGATGGGCGCCAGTTAAGTTAACATTTTTTAAAGGTTTTAAGTCACATTTAATAGGAAGCAAAACATGGGATAGCTTAAGGCTTGGTTTAAGAGAGTTCCTATTGCTGTGTGTTGTACGTGGTTGTAAGAAGATGGGAGCTGAAAGCGAGAGGAGGAAGGAAGCAAAGAGGAGTCGATGCTGGTGAGTGACACAATCCTGGAGAAGAAATGAAGTGAGATGTCAATTACTTGGTATCTGGAAAATTCGATTCAAATATTAGGTCCTATTGTGTGATCATAGTGAGCTTTGAGGAAGTTTGGAGCCCGGTGTTTCTGGAGGCAGCATTGTGTGGGGTGGAACCAGAGGGCAACGTGAGAAGTCAGGAGATGGAAGTGGACAGAGAGGAAACAGGCTCTGTTGGGTCTGAGATGGTCGTTACACATGGAAGTGGACAGAAGGACTGGCCAGCAGTTCTCTGAATTCTGTCTACACTTGGCAACTGCTTCTCTAACGCGGTCACTCTTCTTGCCTTTAACCACCAGAGGCAGCTAGAGATGAGTGGTATTTGATCCACTGTTATCTTAGAGAGTGTTTACCCAGAACTCACTCTACCCTGTACTCTGTGCCTGCCATCACAGACTGTGAAGAACCGTAGTCTTCTAGGGCTTCAGCTTTCTTCTGATCTGCTCAGTTTGTGGGGGAAAATTGCCAGTTACAATCTATGAAGATTACTTGGGTAGGCTTGGGAATTAAAAGATGACACCCCTTGATATGGGGATAAGCACTTGATATGAAACAAGTGTGATTACTCCTAATCAGTTCTTTCTACTTACTTACATCTAGCACCGGACATTCTTTACCATGATCATTACTTTTCCTCTTGTGTGGAGTTATCACTTATTTTTAGATTGATATGCTTTTTAAATAGCTATATTATTTCTTTAAGAATAATAATATTCAATACAAATTAACCTCAATCTGTAATTTAGTGACAGCCACTTGAAATCACTTACTGAACTTTTATGCAGACATTTCTTTTATATCCACAAACTTCTAAGTCCCAGAATTTACATGCAGGAATTTAGACATCTCTCTCTCTCTCTCTCTCTCTCTCTCTCTCTCTCTCTCTCTCTCTCTCTCATACACACACACACACACACACACACATACACACACACACACACACACAGAGTTTTCTATGACTTCTAAAATTGTACTTTAAAGTATGTGGTAGACAGACTTCCCTTTAAATAAATATAGATCTGTGCATCCATTTATAATATCTGTCTCATGTTTTCTTGCTAGGATGTGCCATAGTTCACTTAACAAACCTATGTAAATTGTTTACTGACAAATAAATCCCTCTTGGCACCAGGTAGAAATCAGCTGGCCAGGCTAAACCATATTATGACTTTACTATCTTGTGCATGGACTCTTGGTATTTATCTATAGCTTCATGGTCTCAGCTCCTCAGAGGGATATCATATAGGAGGAAGATCACAATGAAGAATGTGGGGTTCATATCTCTGCCTCTACCTCTGCACTATAGAGTTATATGACTTTAAAATCACTTTATATTTGGAAGTCACAGTTTTATCTATTGGTGAAGTGATGCTTGTAGGCATATGATACTAAGGTCTTGTTTACTGAATTGTAGCTCTACCATCAAACTAGTTCTCTGCTCTTCCTGTCATCACTAACATACTCATGTCAACTTTGTTATCCTGTGCTTCTACCATGGCCAGCACAATGCCAGTAGATTGGGCACTCAGCGGTCGTACTTTGAGTGATGGGCCAGGCAGCCATCACATCTGTCTCAAGGCTTGCTTGTATGGTTTTGTATAAAACAGTGAACCTCATAAATGTCTACCCATTACCCTCTTTAGAATTTGTGTACTTATATACTTATATTTGAAATACTTTAAATCTCTTCCTCTCTCTTATTAGCAATGCTTATTACCATTTACTATAAAAAACAACTAAGCGGCCGGGCGGTGGTGGCGCACGCCTTTAATCCCAGCACTCGGGAGGCAGAGCCAGGCGGATCTCTGTGAGTTCGAGGCCAGCCTGGACTACCAAGTGAGTTCCAGGAAAGGCGCAAAGCTACACAGAGAAACCCTGTCTCGAAAAACAAAAAACAAACAAACAAAAAAAAAAACAACTAAGCAGCAATCTTGTGTTTGAGAAAGTTCTTTCGACCAATGAAATTGAAAGATGCTCATAGACCAAAAGGAATATATTGATCCACACTGGAAGTGATAAATATTAAGTTTTTTTCCACTCAACTTGGGCCTAGGATTAAATCACTTTGAAGATGTGACTTAAGACAAATTAGGGAATCTAGGAGGGTAAACAAGATGCTTCCTGTTTAATTAATTAATTCTCACCCTAGGCTAACTTGAATGAGTTAGCTCTTTGAGCATGAATTATGTGCCTCATTTCAGGGCACCTTTCAGGCAGTGTCAATTACAACATGCCTTGATTGAGTGGTACTTTCAAAGACTCTTCAGTAGGATGAGAACTCTCAACCTTGGTCCTTCCTATGTACTCTAGATGCCTCGTTTGTATTTTTAAATGCATTTTTAAAAAATTTCTTTTGAGGTAAGGCCATCATTAACCAGTTTTGACTATTATGGACATATTTACTAGTATTCTGTAGCTCCAACATGTTTCTCATTATTTTTCATTACTTGTGTCTAGCTTACTAGACAGAACAAAATGCATGATGTTATTTAATTTTTTGACAAATTAATAGCCAATATTACATAGGGATATTCCACAGAACCTTTTGTTCCTAGTCCAGTGTTCTTTCCTGAATTTTGGGTACACTAGGTTTCTAGAAAATGATTCTTCAAATAATTTTTGTGTCCCAGTAAACAGGATGTATTTCTGGTTTATACATAAACCTTTTCTTTTAACCCACAGGAGGTGCAGTTGCCCCTAGTCTCTCCAGAACCCTGACTCTTAGTTCTGCTCTCATTCTCTTCTCTCTCTCTCTCTCTCTCTCTCTCTCTCTCTCTCTCTCTCTCTCTCTCTCTCCCACTATATCTGACCACTTGGTTCTTGTCTTGCAGTCCCCAGTCTGTCCCAGATCGCCTGAGGATCCGAGTGAACAAAATCAGTTTACAAGACTATGAAGGACTCCACTATGACAAAGAGAAACTCCGGGAAGCCTGTAAGTTACCAGCACCTAAGGGACTTCATGGGATGAGTCTCTTCAGTCTCAGCTTGTGGTGGGTTTTTGATGGGTAGATTCATTAGACTTCATATCCAAAAATGTGGTTGGAGAAGGGAAGAGGGAAGTGCAGGTAACACGGAAGCTTCTGGTGATGCTATATGGGCCACAGAAAATGGGAACAGTGAAGAAAAACAGTGAAACTAGGCATTCTGATACATGTGCCCTTGGGTTAGGCACCTCTCAAGTCTCAACTTTATCTAAAATTGGAAATGCAGAAGGTTGACACAGAAACAGCTAGGAACTTTTGAGCCACCACAATCTCTTCTTGAAGTTTGCCTCATAAGATGCTTCCAGCGTGTTCTGGATCATGAGCAGTTACCCGGGAAGGTGCATCCGTTCCTTCATCTCCTATGTTGTTGTAGAACATCATATCAAGGACCATGACCTTGGAATGCTGAGGTGATAGGGCGATTCCTTGATTGTGAGGGGGTACTGTTTCTGAAGCTGTAATTTGAGTCAACCTATGAATTATCTGTCAGTGTTTACCTTTCTTTTATATCCTTGAGTGCACAGCTAGTTGTTCATTTATGTCACCAAATGGTACTTATTGGCTATTGTTTATATTCTGATCACCATTTTAGATCAGTTTCTACACCCTAATTGATGTTTAGAGGTTATTGAGTAAAATAGATAAGAAATTGCTATTGTGAGTGCTTCAGATATTAAGGTTCTGGGTTCCCTCTTACTTGTGGGGACCAGTAGTCAGATGCAATAAGATGGGGTAAGGCATATAATCCTCAAGAATACAGACATGAGTATCTCTGGAAAGAAAGGACTCAGTAGATCCCAGGCTTCCTCAAGCCCAGTGTTGATTGGCTCACGGTGGCCCTAACTGGAAGCACAGAAGAGACCACTAGTTGAAATGGGGGGAAATGGTGCTGGGGACAAAGGTTGCAAAGCGTCCCTGGGGGAGTGGCTTCCAGATTCTGCGTCCTTGACAGTGAGCTGCCACAGGCTTTGGCAAATGGAAACCCTGAACCCAAGGAGGGTCTTTCTATTGGGTGTAAGGGTTTCTAGGATCTGCAGGGGGCAGTGAGCAAGGGTCCTTTTCCTGGTGGGTCCTTCACTGAGCCTGCTGGGAAGATCTGTGGGGAGTCTGCCTCACTTCTCTCAGTTGCTGTCTGCTTCAGCAAGCATCCTCTTCTAGAGACATTGATTCCTTGAGTTTCCTCTCAGTCTCCCGCTCTGTCCCTGGCTCTCATTTTCTTTGGCGGGAAAGTATGAACCACAGGGCAGAAGTGGTTCACTGAACCTCTGCATCTCTTCCTTTTGTTAAGAATTCATTATGGATTATGTTTTCTAATATAAATGAGTTATAAGTGACAGACTAGTACGAAGTCTGATTTAAGCCACTGACAGACGATCGTGCACTTGTATGATGAGGTATAGCCACAGATGAATTAAATAGAAACCGCTCAGAAAGAGCAATGTTACCTGCTTCCCTTTTTCATGATTCCAAACTAATAGCTTCAAATTATTAAAAACAGTAAGAGATAATGAATCTCAAGTAATGTTTTACAGCTTACCGTCCACTCTGAAGAAGCTGGCTGGGGGTGGGATACATTTGAAGAGCTTTGAGGCTTATCTGTAACTTCCAATTATCTATTTGATCTTCTCTGGGCCTCTATCTATCTCTCCCCATTGCTGCTGGAGGTAATTGTGATTTGAGTTTTTCCAGGAAGATGACATTTCCTGGCAAGTGCTTTCTTGACTCATCCTATCTGAAATGATAAAACTTCCATCTGAGCAAACTTCTTAAATTGGGAACAGTAACTTGGCATAAGCACAGGACAGATAAATTCAGCAGTATCTTTGGAACCCAAGAGAATGAATAAACTCCTAAAGGGGACCAGAAAGGAAGTATATTAAAGATCTGAGTCTGAAAAAAATTGATTGAAAGTAAAAGTTGCTAAGTTAGTCATTCTACTTTTAATAAATGGTGGTGATGCTTACAAGCTGTGGGTGCATAGGGAAGCTTAGCTTTTGAGGTTATGGATTTGCTGACCCTTGCTCTTTTGCCTGGGTTTACCTTGCAGCCAACTACAGAGCCATAGAATGGCTGACAGAGCTCGAGCTGAGTATGAATAAAAGCTAGTTCAAGTTCATATGTGATATGCATGCCAAAACACACATTATTTCAGAAGCATTAATTAAATGAAGTTCCCGAAACACGTCTAGATAAAAGGGTCCCCACAAATGTACTCTGACCTGCATTCTGGAAGAACAAAGGAACTAAGTCCACCCAGGAGATTCATTTATTGTCAACAAAGTCTCAGCTTGAGCAATGGTATCATACTGGGTTTAAAAACATTAGTGCCCTTTCTTGATGACGTGATCAAGTGATTTGCCTGGGCAGTGTGGGATGCTTGCCGTCACTATCTAGTTGATTCTTGTTCATGTGTCTGGATGGTTGTTCATATTAGATTACAAGCTTGGGTATTTGTTGTCTAACTAAGCCCTGCTCCCACCTGCAACTCAGGGCTCCCTGGTAATACAACATGGCAGCCCTTTTATTGTTCTGCTTATTACAACAGACAGAAATACACCCTCACTGTTTGAGACACATGTCTCCCTTCTGTTAAGCGCCATCTCCTCTGGGGAACCTATTCCTAATATACCAGATAGGGTATATAAATGCTCAACAGTCTCCTTCCCAGCACGTGTTGATAAATATAATTGCTACTTAAAATGCAGTCTCTTCACTGGTTATGATTTATCAGTTCTCAGGGTAAAGGTGATGCTTTTCAAGAGAGGAAGAGGCAGTGTAAAGGAAAGGTTCCATCAAATCTCTTAAAGTGACAATAGAAAATCACTTCCACCAACTGAGTGAGGTATGCAAATGAGTCACTAATAAAGCACAGATGTAATTACACAGTCCGTGCAATGGAGAAGCAGCTTTTGACAGTTACGATTCTAGCTACAAAAGAGACTTAACTGGACATACAGTTCAATGTACAGAATAATTTGAGTGAGGCCAAAGTTTACCTATCTCCCACCAGCTGATTATACTCTACTTTTGATACAAGCTAATGCCACACTTTTTTATTTTGTAAGCAAACATAGCCTTTATTTGTCATTTATACTGCAAAAAACCCTTAGGGAAAATGAGACAAGCTTTCTGGGGAGTGTAGACCCCTGACTCAGGGTACTGTGTGTTGTGTAGGGAGCTGCCACTTTTGCCTGGTGACAAGAATCCTACAGACATTGGTAGGAAAAGGGGGGTAAAGACACAAGGTGGCAGGAAAAGGCTGGATTCAAGCCAATCTGAAGGGAATCCTAGAGTTTGGTACTAAAGGGATGTGAGCAAGGGTGAGGCTCTGTGTGAGAAGGTCTCTTCCCACCATCTGTGGAGTTTCTGTTGGAAACTGTAAAATGGAAAACTGTGACCATGTACAGGGAATAGGACAAAGGTCCAGGGAGTCCACCTGTACAAGTGACTGTAGAGTAAGAGTAGCAGATTTAGGAAAAGCACTGACTGAAAGCCACCTTTAAGGAAGGAGCCTCACTGGGAGGGAGTCTTATGACCAAGAGGAGCATGGCTGGGCTTGAGGTGGGGAAGCATGAGAATGGCATGTCATGTTTGACATAGCATTGATGGGACTTGACATGGGAGCACATTAGAGACATGAAAACGTTAGGGAAAGTTACTTCTGTGGAGAGGAAGGTGGAGGACCAGAGAAGTTCCTGGAATACAGGGGATATTGTGACTCTTGCACCTGTTTTTTTCCCCCACTGAGATCTATATGTTCACATCAGGGCTTGTTGGTTCTATATCTCAAGAGAAAATTGGCAGGGATGTGTGGTGTGGTTTCTGCAGGCTGCAAATCTGACCTCTTAGAAGGACCAGTATCTTAAAGTGGCAGGTCCATGTTCTAACATTCATAGCATTTACACAACACACACACACACACACACACACACACACACGCACGCACACACACACACACACACACACACACACACACACACATACACACGAGAGAGAGAGAGAGAGAGAGAGAGAGAGAGAGAGAGAGAGAGAGAGAGAGAGATTCACTCACACAGAGGGGGTAGATACAGGCATGATTTTATAGGAAAGGAAAGTCAAGGAGGAGATGTAGGGGATGATGGATGTCAAACCCGAGTCTCTGGCTTTTGAGCTGAGCTGGGGTACAGTAGGATGGGGCGAAGCCTCCTTGTATCAGAGGGTGCTGTAAGGTGTAGGTCTCTGCAGCAAAGGCTGGCATTCAGGTTCTGTACCAGGAAGACATTGTCCATGTAAGTCCATGTAGTATGTTGAACAATAGTCTGAGTAAATTGAAGTATCATGCAGACTACAAGGGACCTACAGATCGAAGAATCAAAATGATTAAGTAATATTTATTGGAAGAGGTCAGAAAGTCCGTGAAGAGCTTTAGAATTAATTTTGAATTGAATTTATTAAGAGGAAGGGATGGGGTCAATAGAAGAGTTAATGACAACAGGTGCCCTGAAGGGTGTGTTTTTGGTATTTAAGGTAAGTTAGGAGAGGCAGTGGGAAGGACATCAGAGAGTTAAGATGGGTTTTAGTAGAGTTGTTATGGATGTCCCATGGAGCAGTGCGGAGTTTCTTCCCATCACAAGAATTTTAAGTCACATACAGGGGATGGTAGAGTAGGTTGTCCATTAAAAGGACTAAGATAACTCAGTAAGTCTGGCTTTGGACTTGTAACATTCTAACTCTCCAAATTCATTGACGTCAGTTAGAGTTCTAACAACATAGGTGTGGCTTCATTTTGCAACCTTCTTTTATAGTTAGTTTTTCCACTGGCCAAGCATTACATTTTGGACATGTGGTAAGTATTATCATATGGCCAGCATGGCTGGTAGCTTCTCCTAGAATCAGATAATGATGTGTCTAGGATAATCAGGTAGGCAAATCTTCAGGAGAGACAGAAATGATTACCATAGCCATGAAA